GGGAAAAAGAAGTTTAGGCACCATATTACCAATTCAGAGCAGAGACACTTTCTTCTGCAATACAGCCAGTTACGTTGGGAAGAACAGGGACAGTGACTAAGAAGACATGCATATTACAGGAAGAGACAGAAAGAAATGTAGGGATGGGGAGAGTATGCTGTTTTGAAGGGTTCTTGCTTCAGCCGCTTTCACTGACCTCCCTGTACCTCTGACCTCCCCTATTCCCTTTTTGTGACCTTTCCTTCCCTCAGTTCAGAGTGCTCTCCCTTCCTTCCCCTCCACCACCCAGCAGACCTGCTAACGTAAACATCAGCCAACATGCTTTAGATTGCTGCAAAACTCAAAAAGCATACAAGGCAAGTACTATTTCAAACAGCAGCTATGCCAGTAAGAGGCCCAGTCCCATCCTTTCTGATAGCTGGAGCCACACTGTCCATCACAGCCCTCCATCTTAAAATAAGCATTAAAAAAAAATATTAATCTTTCCTGCTTCGGGCATCTGGCTCCCCTTGGAAAAAAAAAAAAGGGAGGACACAATAAAAAGATGAAGGGCCCTTTTGGCTCCCACTCTGACCTCCTCAGCTGAGCAGTGAGAAAATGGATTGTCCCGGGTCTTTCATGTAATCTTTCTGCATTTCTAAAACACAGCTGCCCACAGGATGATAGCCTCTACATTTACATCACAAAGAGCAGAGAGGCTCTTCCAGATGGGACAGCTTCTCTTTGTTGATTTTAACCATTAGCTCCCAAACCAAGCATATGTCTGTTCCCACTATTCAGAGAGTTCTTCAGCACACAGGGGATCCCATTGCCTGCCCCAAACATGACCAGAGGAGGTCTTGTCCCACACAGCAAAATGGACAGGAGAGCAGGCAGCAGCACACAGCTTCCTCTCTCCTGTGCTGGGTATCTCTCATTTACAAAGTTCAATTGCCCATTTCTTCAATTTCAGTAGGCAAAAAGAGCTCTGTAAATCAGGCGTGCAGAAAGTGCCTATTTCAGTTTTCATTAGCTATTTGTATTTTTGCTTATATGTATTAAAAAGAGTGGCTGCTCTTTGCACATACTGGGATGTACGCTACGGGCACCCGCCACAAAGACACCCATGGACAGGAGAGACCTAGACCAGCTGAATGCAGGCAGGCAGGCAGGCAGCAGGATCCTGAGGAGGCTGAAACATGGGTGCACACTGCACGGTGCTGCTGCTGCTGCTTTTTATAGGCTGTGGAAAGAGAATTTCCTGGGGGTGAGAAGAGTTTCACAGGACAGAACTCTAGGGCTTATTGTATGCAGAGTTTGCTCACCGTGGTGTTAAATCTGGGCAAAAGGCTGAGTCAACATGCTTCACCCTGCTTAGAAGAGGCTCACTGTGGTTTTAGTGAAGTTGATTACAATAGGTTTTAAGATAAAAGAAGCCAGATAACCTAATGCAGGTATCAACAGGACAGATTAACAGTAAACCAATGCAAAACATGGAGTTCACTGCAACTTCTTTTCATACTGATTTTATAAGCACACTTGAGATACAAAGATATGATTTCATCTCCCGTCTCTGCAGCAAAATGAGGAAACGATTTAAGAGCCCTACCTACATGGATCCCTTTCCCCAATTTGGGGAGATACTGCTGAGCCTCTGAGCAGTTAATTCTGTAGTAGAGCTACCAGCTTCAGGGATAGGGGAGCTCTTTGGCACGGCAAAGGAATTCTGCAGTAAGAAAACATGTGATTAGTAAGTATGAATGGACTATTTTGCAATCCGCTCCCCTTCTAACCAGGTTAATGGAAAAGATATCTCCAGAGCCAGCTTACAGGAGATCCTAGAAGTACTCCAGAGCACAGGGGAACAGATTACACTGGAAGTTCATAGACAGAAGTCTGCCCGCGAGCCTCCCCAAACATCTGATGCTGCAACTCAGACGGACTTCAGAGCAGGGAATGAGCAACGCCGCAAGGAAGAGAACTGCAGCAAATCGTGTTTAAATCGCTGCCTGGATGGGTATGTACAATGTGTTGCTCAAGGTAAAGAAATGTCTCCTAGAAAGCAATAATAGCATAGCATGCGAAGCACAACATCAGCCAACATCTCTCAAAGCTGGATTTCTAATCAGCTGCATCCACTAACAGTAAAACAGGCTAACCTAGCTCCTGCCTAGCACTGGCTCTTTGATTTGGCCATTCAGACAATAACAAAAATATGGCCCTCAGCATGCCAAAGCACAGAGCCAGCCCCTCTCACGCGGCTGGGGAGGGACCTGTGTTTCTGTTTGGTTTCTCCACAGGGCTTTCTTTGATTACTTGCTGCCACAAGATTGCAACAGCAATAATGAATCTAATTACCCACTTTCTGCACCCTGTGCCACAGGAAGAGAAGAGTTGAACTATAAGGTATCCCATCCTATTTTGCCTCCATACTTTCCAAAAATCTTTTTTAGTCACCTCAGGCTTACATCATCAGGTTTGCCAAACCAGATTTCATGTTCCCTGCTCTCGTTGCATTTCTCTTTCAGGCATTAGCCCTTATTCATCAAGATGAGTTTCAGCAGCTGTTACTCCATCCCTGCAGCTCTTTCCAGTGTCTCTGGGAGCTTGGTAAGGCCACATCTCAGGCTGTTTACAGCAGTAGCAGGGAGAGCTTAAGACAAGAGAGAAATCCTGCCGTTGTTTATGGTTGGAGGATGCTCAGAGAGATGACTCATGCTCAGCCAGGGAGGATAGCCCCAAAGATATCTAACAGCTTGTGGGTGTTTGTTTTTAGGCAGAAAGCAAAAGCAGTAAAGGCGAAGATGAAAAGCAGGCATTTCTCTATCCCAAGTGGGACAGTGGCCTGGGCTTTACTGACACCAGCACTCAGCCAGGTGAGAATTCAGGGCCCCATGCAGGAGTAGCATCAGCCTGTGGCCAGGAAGGTCCCAGCGCAGATCTCTGTGCCAGCACATCTGCACGGAGAGGACTCCTTACAGACTTCCCCACCTATGACGAGTTAAGCGATTCCAGTTTCTGCAGCATAAGCGCAGAGGAGCGCAGAAGATTTCAAGAACTCCTGGAAAGCAGATGCAGCAAATATAGACCCATTTCCTGGGAACAAGAAATGCCTCACAGGTCAGGAGGCCAGGAGGGGGGCTGCAAGCAATGCAAACAGGACCAGTGGCTCCCTAAGTGCCTTCAGATTGGTGAAAATAGCATCCCAAGAGACAAAGGGCTGCAGCATAGGGGCGAACTCTGCCTGCACAGCACAGCAAGCGGGAACAGAAATAAAGCCAGTGAGAACGAACCATCAGCACGGGCCACAGACGTGTGCCCACCACCACACATCGCTGCCAGCTCAAAACAGCTTACGATTCCTCATCATGCACGTCATTACAGGAGCTACACGAGCTTGCTGCAGGAAAAGGCCGCTGCAGAGTGTCTAAGTGACCCGGCTAGAATGTCAGCAAAACCAAGGCGATGCAATGAAAGCCCAGAGGGCAGAGCAGGGGATAACAGCAACAGATGGAGGCTGGCATGTGAAAGGAGCAAGCGGTCCTTGAAGAAGCAACACAAGAACTGGCTGCTAAAGGACAGGGCCTTGAGAATTGCAGAAGAACAAAGCAGACTGACCACAGATGAGGACACCCTCCGCAAGATGAAGACTGGGAAATACTGGAATAAGGCTCAGAGAAAGCAGCACATGCTCCCAGCCAAGGAACAGAAACAGAGAAAAGCAGTGCAGAGCCACAGGGAACAGCTGAGCGAAGACAAAGCCAGCACTGAGCACAGGAGAAACTTCAGTATCGTGGAGCTGAGTCAGAGGAAACTGATGAAGAACAGAAGCAAGAAAAATCTTGGACAACTGGATCACCATTCAGGAGCTTCTGAGCCACAGGACCAGATCGCCAGATGGAAGAAGGACATACAGTCCCTTGCTGTCTGTCACAACTGTGTAGCAACCCTCCTGTCCCTTCCCAGAGGGTCACCCCAGGCACCAGGAAGGAACAGTGCATCTTCCCAACGGCATCTTCTGTCACTGCAGAATGGTTCCCTCCAATATTTCCAAACTTCTGCTGGTCATTGTGCTCATTAAAGTCTCCCTGCAGAAATAGGGAATGCAGTAGAACTACAAACTGGGAATTCAAGCCTGATGACAGGCTTGCTTCTCCACTCAAATACAGCTAGACGACCCCAGGGTCCACGGATCATTGTCCTGATATACGTATTGCCTACTTCACTGAACATGAAGATTTGGCTCACTGCATTTCAGTCTAATTTTTTTGTACAGGATTCTCTGCAAATAAGGTATTTATCTCCATATCCAGCTCTTTCTATATTAAAGCTTTTTTGTTGTTGTTCTGGTAAAAAAGAAAAAATAATAGTATGCTTCAATCTTTAATATTAGAGTCATATCATTATTTTCCACAGAATTGAGTGTGCTATGCATTCCTGTACTTTAGTTCACAGCAGGAAAAAAAAAAAAAAAAGAAACAGACTTAGTAAATATAGTTGTTTACTGTAAAATAAGAGACAGAAGTAGAAAGAGAAGCCACTTAATAGGTCCCTCTGTGGATTCTGCTACCAAGGGGGAAACAATACTCCCCACGGAGTTGCTGCATGTTTTATACTTGTTAATAACCAGGAAAAATGAAAGATCCATAAGCCCACTGAACTATTCACTTCCTCCCCCTTTAAAGATTTTAGGAATGAGCTCAGCTCCGAGTGATGATTAAAAACCACCCAGTTATGTTCCTAAGCAGCAGTGCTCAAATTGAAGATTAGCTTGTGCTACCCAGTGCTCCCTCCTTCGCTATTCTACGCTACAAAGGAAACAGGGCAAGCTCCAAGCAATCACTTGAAGATATTTCACAGTTTTGCAGGCTCTAGTAGAAGGAGATAAATCTCTCTAGAGGAAGCAGACAGTAGTGGTCCACCCCTCAACCCCACACTGCCCCACAGCTACTGAGACCAGACCACTTGGATCTGATGGAAAGGACACCAGCCAGCCAGGAAACTTGGTTTGTAAGCCCACCTCGAAAGCATCCTTACTTCTATACACCTTGTGCTGGAGAAACACCATCTACCAAACAGCGATCTGTGTCAGCTCACATCACCACAGAGTTCTCAGCAAGGCAGAAGAAATTCGAGGAATTAAGACAGGAATAAGGATCGCAAGTTATTAGCTAAATAAAAAACCCCCAAACACCTAGAGGTGAAATATGGCCTATTAGAGGAGCAGAGCAAGGTAATTAGCAGTGAGCAGTGGGCAGTTTTCTGTGGCTCAGTGTCCTCCTGTCTGGACCATTCTAGACCATCCTTTCACACAATGTGGAGCCAAACTCCCTTGCCTCATCTGGAGCTACTGTCTGCACTATTCCATTAAGACTCAAGCTCTGTCTCTACAGTCCTGTACTAACTTATCAGACTCCAAAGCTTAAGAAAGTATTTGGTAATAAACTGTGTCAGCCAGAAAAAAAAATAACAAACTTTGCTGTGAAATACTGCATCAATACTAATAAAGAGACAGAGACAAGAAATTGTATTAAATCTCGGTTCATTACTCCACAGCTCTCCTTCTCAAAATCTTCTGCAAGAAGCAGAGTGCCATGCTCACCAAGATACCCCCTATCACTCCACTTCCAACTCCTACCAAGCATTCATAAAACAATTCTCCTTGCCAAAAGTGCTGCTGTTCTTGCACTTCTTCATGAGTGCTGTTTTCTGTGTTTCCTTCCACCTCATTTGCTGCTAACTTCTGTTCCCAAGTCAAGGATTTTTGAAAGTTCAGATCCACTAAGTCACTTCGAATCACTCTGACCCCAAAGTAGACCCTCTTGATGACTCTGAATGTCTTCAACAACTGCACATCGCATCGGTAAGTCCCTGCATCAGACTCCCTAGCAGGGGAAAATCTGATGATGACAGAATTGGGGTTTTTGAAAGGTTTGAACAGTACATTATTTGTCGTGATAAGGCCTTGGGCAAGCCTCCACCTATAGCTATAGGCTTGGCTACTAAAGCCGACTACGTCCGAGGTCATGCAGCTGAGCTGGAAGGGTTTGCCCACGGGGATGGTGAAGTGGAGTAAGCCACAAACCCAGCTGGTCAGGCAGTCGGACCTGTGCAAGGTACAATTCCTCCTCTCTCCGGCGGGAGTGATCTCGCACATCTCCTCCAGTTTGAAGCCCAGCCCACAGGTGACACTGCAGGATGTGGTGTTGACTGCAACTTTCGCTACAACTGACTTCAGCTCTGCTGGGATGGTAACTTTTTCAAAGGAAACTACCAATGGCAGATAGAAAGCACAAGGTAATATCCCAAGGATGTGGCTGTTCCCCAAGGTCTTCATACTGGGGTTATCAATCAGACATGCTACTTTCTAAAGCCACGCAAATCCAGTAGTCAAAAAAACACAAAATCATTCTTTGTAAATCTTCAGACTTAGTATTTCTGAAATCCCACCAGTATCATCTTCAGGACCTAATCCTTCCAGTAGGAAAAATCCTCCAAGACAGGCTTGAAGTACAACACTGCTAAAGAAGATGCAACACATTACTATGTCAGTCAGAACGTGAATAGTTCTTTTAACAAGGCAACAGAATGTTTTAATCCACTATATTCCAGCAAATGGGATCTATTTGACAATTTAAAAAAAGATTAAGTCCTCCCTTCTCTGTAAGATTTTACGTCCTGTTTTAGATTAATTTCCACTGTAAAGAAGTACTGTTCCAGTTTAATTTTCCCACCAAACTATAAAGCAATGTAAGTAATCATTACTGGAACCCTTAAAATAATGCTGTTGAGCATACGGAAATCGTAATTCCCTATGCAGCACCTGCACAGTTCTGTCTTATATGCACGTATCCCAAAAGTACTCCTCAAATTACCAAGATCACGAAAACACGATTTCAACCTCTAGAGTCTGACGGCACTGACATCCAAAGGAAGCTGAACTGTATTTTATCACTGATGATACCCATCTCTATGCAGGGCTCAGCAGAGTCACTCACATCTGCGCGAGCCTGCATTCCCAGGGGAGCAGTGCCAACATCACAGTCCAGCTGCCCGGGTCAGAACGCAGCCCCAAACCTTCCGAGGGAGAACAAAGAACTCCCCTATGTGTGAAGCCAAAGCAAGTCCTCCGAGATGAGGACTCAGCATAAAAGCATCGTATTAGGCTCCTGACATCCACTATGGGACTCAGAAGGTATTCAACAGCACTGGCCTCACAGCATCACTCAGAGGAGCTGCAAGCCTAAGCCTCGTGCTCTGTGTCACGTACAGCCACCGACTCCGAAGAGAGTTATAAGCCAAAATCTCCACATTCAACCGATGCATCTGTAAAACAGAAACCACTCGTATGCTGCCATTGCAGCAAAACGCTTGAAAAGGAGACATCCCAGTGTAATTCACTTAGTGCTCAAGCATTCCAAAAAAATAATGCACTACTAAAAAAGTTCTTTGTGAAAAAAAAAAAAATCAAAGTTACTTATTTTTGATGGAGTAATTGAACTATGGTCAAGGCAGTTCAATAAAGAGTGTCTCCTTACCAGCAACTGAATTACGGATTGCAGAAAGGATTTGGATTGCCATGTTCTTCAACAGCTCTGCTAACGAATATCCACATTTCTCTTCCTAACAATCCTTAATTTCTTAAAATTAAGACTTCTGAAGATCTAGTATATGTATTTTCCACATTCAATTTCCCTGGAGGTGCACTCTACACCCAGCATGCTTTGTGTTCAGCTCCCCTTTCGTGTGTCTGCCTCAGAGTGCCGAGGCTGCACTCGGGTACACGGGGGTTTTATTAGACTACAAATTTACTTCTCTCTTGAAAAGAGATCATCAACCAAGTGCCACACAAAGAAACCAACCAACAACACACCAGCTGTGGTGAAGGCACAATATATTGGTGTTTGCACCAGAGCTGTGTTGTAGGATTCCTAAACATTGTCACAATATAAACAATGATGGTTGTATGGAAAAGCCAAGACTTACCCATTGACTTTAGGAAATAAAACATACCTCTTTATTTACAAACACAAAAACTAACATCACTGCTATATACTACCATCAAGCCAGTATCTGACAAATATTGTACAAAACTACAGATACCAGAAAATAAAATAAGAGATGGAAGAAAATAAACCAAGGACATATACACTGTACAGAGAAGTTTTAACAGAAACGAAGGCTGGAGTCTGTGGCAAATCATATGCTTTAAAACAATATAGAGAACCATTGCCTTTGCATCTTTTAAAGCTTGTGGGATCAGCCACACCACATATGGGTGGATTTGACGTAACAACGTTCCAGGAAAGATGCGAGTCATCCTACAGGCAGAAAGAACAAAGAAAACTAAAACTGTACGCAAGGGAATGGATTTCATTAAATGAAGCAGGCCACTGTACCAAAGCAGGAAATGAAAATACCAGTTTCAAAAAACCCGATTTGAAATGTCTCCTCTCCTCCCATGCTTCTATCTCATGCAACTACTGCATACTTCCGACTGTAAATTAATAAATCTCTTTATGACTCCTCTTCTTGGTTTTTAATGTCTGCAGGATACTTTGAAAATTAAATACGTAGTGATAATCTCAATAATTACATCTGGGGAAAAACTGAAGTAATTGCACAGGACCTATAAAAGTCTATAAAACAAGGGGCATTAGGAATGAAAACTTTCTTTTAACAGGCAGTTGGTCTAGCACAGAGAGGTGTCAGGCTGTAGGTATCAGATAGAGAAAGAGCCTCTTGCCATTCCCACTAGGAAAATATCACAACCATCTTCAAGGAATAAAAGGTTAAAGCATGGCTGGGAATGAGCTGTTAGCATTCATCTTTCTTCCATTCTTGATCCAGAAGTTTGGAGGGGTGGGGGGACAAAAAGCTGAAAAACTACTGTTTCAGTTTGGAGAAATATTGGTTCTGTTTTTTCTCTAACTGCCAGTACCTACCAGCTAAGGAAGAAACCAATTGTTTCTGGTAGGGAACCTCACAGGAAAGAGAAAGAATAAAAACACTTGCAAGGACAGAAAGAAACTGCCAACACAGCTTTTCACATCACAGGCTAGAAGAAAGCATATCCACTGAGTATTTTATCTAGAGCTACTTTCACTTTTTCCTTCTCCCTCCATAAGCTGAGTCATCCTTCATGTCTAAAATATTCACAATACGAAGATTCATTCTTTGCAGACTTCAGAGGGGGTCTTGATTCTTCACATTAGAGCTCTATCCACTTGAGATGAAATCAAACCTGGCACATAATCAGCAGCAGTGTTTCACTAAGCATGTCAGCATAGAAGACATCACACTGAGCTAACAGAAAAGCTGATAAGGTAATACAGCTGGCATAGAAGGACTTACAACTCACCAAAATGAAAATTAACAGCAAAGAAAGGGAAGTTTGCAGGATACACAGTCATACGGCATCAGGAATAAAAATACACACTTTGGGTGTTCTTCAATCCAGGAACAAAACAAAAAAATATTTAAAAGACAACGGCTGATAAGATCTGGAGTGGCAGAGTGTTGGGTACCAGCTCACTTTAGAAATAGTTATATATGTCAACACAAAGGCAGTCCAATTAGTCTCTTTGCAAATCACATGACCTGAGAGTCAGCATCTTACACTGTTCGATGAAGAGGCAGTTAAGGAGGAATGAAGGCCGTTTCCTCTTCCATATTCATTTCTTACAAAAGTCACTCCCTGAATCCATGAACAATCAGTCTGCTGTATTAGTCAGTCCACTCTGACTGAGCATTTCATCTATTTTCCACATTATGGTGTCAATATAGGAAAGAATACAGGAAGATAGAGAAGAATGTCTTCATAACAATTCTGAGATTGCACCACCTGCTAAAGAGATCAAAGACAGGTGAAAAGTAAGTAACCAGACTCAAACAGATGTTACCAGAAAGCAGAGACCACCAAATACGGTAGCATTTCCAGAAAAAAAATGAAAGAGGACAAGATTTTCTAGATAAAGCCATTCTTTTCAGAATGAGATATAATCAACAAGATACTATCTACGACAAATTAAGATCTACAGTATTTCTGCATTTGTATTTGAGATCACGTGCACAGGCATAGACAAGGTGGCTAAGGAACTCTGAGCCTTTACTCCAAAAAGTTGCAAGCAAACTTACCTGGTGTGCAACTTTTTGATTCATCAATCCCCAAAATCTCAGAGCAAAGGACAACTGAAAACAACAAGTTCCACCTAAGTCTGGGTTAAACCAGATTGCTGTAAGATTTTATTCTAAAACTATAAAATGGATCGAGCTTCTCAGTTTGTTTATACTGAAACCTGATTTTGACATAGCTTTAAGAATAAGACATTTACTGCCAGACTGCACAGTACAGTGACACAGACGCACTTGCGCCAGGCTCCAAGTTCCAGCCATGCAGCATGCAGAAAGACACTGTATTATGGCATATCAGCAAACAGTTTCCAGAGGAGAAATGCTTGCTGTGTGACTGTTTTAGCGACTGGTTAGTTACTTCAGAAAGCAACAGCACAAGAAACTAGCAGAGTTAACAGCTTCAAGCACAAGAGACAGAAAAGGCAGTCTGGCTCCAGGATCCCAGGCAGGTGGCCATTTGAATTTGGAAGTGTGTATTTGCGGTGTGGTGGAACACCAGCAACCCCAAGAAAAAACTGGCTGCCCAAAATAGGATTCTAAGTGCAAGCCGTAAAGAGAACAAAGGAAGACAGACATGAATTTCATGGAGTAAAAGACTACTGTGAGTTTGGAAAGATCCAAGTGACAGTTTCTTCAGTGCACAATCTGTTCTTCTCATAACATGACTCATATAGACACTTCCAACACTGACTACTGAGATCTACTGCATGGATCTTATTAGATCCTCTTAAGTCAACAGTACTGTAGAAGGGAGCCCAATAACAGGTCCTAATGAGAGATAGCAGTCCATCATAGCAATATTGATTATTTGCCTGTATCTCAATCAAGCTAAAGAATTCCACCATGGAAAAACACCTTAAAGTGCTTACAGGCAGCAAAAACTAAAAGTAAATTTTAGAAAGCTCTACCATCTCTGATAGGTGGGCAAAGTAAGTAGGGAACTTGGGTCTAAACCCATTTGTTTGTAAGAAAAGAAAATTTCCATTCTACAGTGTCCAAAAACCAAAGCTAACTGTACTGGCACAGGTATGCACATCCCAAGCTTAGCAGCAGTAAAATTCCACTGTTGTCTTTTATAGCAAGTCAGGCTATAACAACTGCATGAAAGCATTAGAAACAAAACCACACAAAAATCCTCCCAAATACGGTTTTGCAAGGATGTGTAAAAAAAACAAGAAAGGAGTCTGTCTAGAATGTTGCTTCATTTGAAACATGTTAGAGGAAATGGGAGTATTATTTTCCCAGCTCTCAGAACAGACCAATGCAATAGTGATCACAAGCTGCAAGAAGAAAGTACACTGACATCTGTCTGCAAATGTAGATCAAGCAAATTAGTAAAACAAGTTGATAAAGTTCCATAAACATACCTTGAAAAAGTTGAACAAAAATACTTGCTATTAAAACTACTCCTCTGAAAACAGACTGCTTATACAGCCACTTAAACATGGAAAAGTCAAAATATCCAGCTTTTTTTTTTTGAAGCAAGTGATGACTGAAATTTGTTTTGGAAGCCACATTGTTAAGTTTCCAGTGCACGATCCTTTCTCATTTATATCCTTTTGCATACGGTCATGTTAATTAGCAGCACAATAAAAGAAAGCAATCAACAGGCCTGCTGATAAAACTAACGGTTATGCTCATTTGGTCTTCAAACCAGTCTTGTCCATCCAGCATGGTACAACAGAGCAGTCAGGATGTGTAACAGATGCCAGCAAAGACACCTGAGGATCCACACAATCCGGTAATTCCTTACTATCGTACGTTAAAACATACTGGATGCCCCCTAATGACTTGAAAAGTCAAAAGAGAATCAGCCTGTCTAGCAAATCTGACACTAGAAGCTAAGCAGTACCTCCCAGGCTACAAACAAGATCTAAGGATATTCTTGTGTATCTGTTTAATTTCTAGATTTTGCAAGGTGCAGCGTGAAAGGATTAAATAGAAGCCCAGAAAACATCCACCATGTTTTTCCATGTATAGACTAAGTTTCCTTTATCCCATTCCCTTTTTCAGCAAATAGCAATTATCAGTACTAGTACAAGCAACGTAACAGGAGCTGAGCAGGAAGGACAATGAGCAAGGTGGGTAGCATAAGACCAGCAGTGAGGGAAGGAAGCGGGGGGGGGCGGGAATAAAATCACTTCCGTACAGTCTAAAATCCACAGCAGCAGCTGCTGATTCAAGGAAATGCAAAATTTGATAGATAATTACATTGTGTCTTTGAAACTGTTTATATATCAACCCTGGGTCCTTCATTACAATCTAAAAAAAAAAAAAAAAAAAGGAGTTCACATCACTTAATCCAATCATGTGCTTTCTTTACTGTGCTTGAATGAACTTTTCCCAAATAAGAAGCTGAAATAGCAAATGAGACAGATGGGAAACACTTGGTCCCTCTGAGACTAAGTCTAGACCCGGACAAAGCTGACTGCAACAGTCCTGTTTTAGTACACAACCAACAAAATATGACCAAAAAAAGAAAAGGCGGGGGGAGAAGAAAAGTCCACCAAAACCTATCCTCATTTACAGCAACTGTACTTTCTGGAATTTAACAAAGGCTGCTGTATAGCTAAGAATAGAAAACTCAGCCCCTGAATTTTATCTCAGGGGTCATTTATCAAGTGGACCATTATCAATGCTCCATTTCCTAATTCTGCCTACAGAACTTTTCTGTTCTTCATCACTGCCTAGTATTGATGGCACAAAGTATCAATTTCAGCTTCAGAATCCTTCACTATTCACATTTCCCCCCCTCAAAATCGACCCACCAAAACCAAACATTGTTACTGTTTATGTAAGAATTGATAGAAGTTATTGAAAAGATTCAAGTTATGAAAAGACATTTTGCTTTTGAAATGGTGCTCAATCGCTATTAAAAACCCTACATGCTCTTTATATGCAATAACACAGGCATGGATATCAGTTTTATTACAAATATTGAAAGCGCTCCCACTTAAAAAAAATGTAAAATTTTGCCTATCCTTGACAGCAGCTAAACATTTAGTAAGCAAGTGCCATTTGGGAAGATAAAATGCTATGACTATATTAAGTCAGGGTCTGTACAAAGCAAGGCCACCAAGCAAGCCAACGACGCTCACGCTGGGTTCCTTACCTGTCAAAGGCTGTCCCAGCTCCGCCTGCACTTTACCCTTCGCTGCTCCTTCCAGAGGTAAAGCACCTCTGTCCCCTTTGTAGAGTTTCGGTTTAAATGGAGAATCTTTGTCTTTACCTTTTGATCCTTTAGGCCTGCCTGCTTGCTTCTTCTTGGATTTACCATCTCCCTTCACACCCAGCAGCGGATGGACTTCTGTGGAGAGGTAACGTGTTACCAAAGTGAGTTATCCCTTAAGATGCTTGTATCAGCACATACAGCCCTTAGTGTTAAATACAAACAGCATTAAAAATTACAGTTTCAGGATGCCTTTTCTCATTCCTAGCTTGCAAAATGCCAGCAGATTTGCAGAGTTGGTCGCTATTAATAACTGTTGTAAGAAGTAACTTCAAAGGAAGGAGAAAATTAGGGAGTGACCTTCTGAACTTCTGGTCTTCAGACAAAGTTAAGGCAAAGCTAAAAACCATCTCAGATGCAGAATAGGCACTAAAACAATGGCAGCTTCTACGCACCATCATTAGGTACTCCTTGTAGTTCAATGTTGGTGGTTTTGGGCTTCTTCTTTGGTGCCTGAGGTCCATCAGAGGAGGACTGCCTCTTCTTCTCGGATCCTATTCCCTCATCAGTTAAAGAACTCTGAACCGCATCTGGTGGAGGTCCATAGGGGTTTTCTTCTGGATCTTCAACTTCAGGAGCAATGGGTAAGTAAAGCAAAGCCTTGGAGTCCTCCAGTTCTTCATCACTGTGAAGGAAAAAAATTTGCTTTCATTTAAAAGTAGGGGTTATTATAACATATTATACAGGGAATATTAGCAATACATTTTGTATTCATACTTTAAACAAAATATTCTTTCACCTGCTACAGAAGGCAGCAATGGGATCCACACTAGTTACATCCACTTCTTCATCTTCTGCAGCATCAGCACCTGAGAACCAGAGAAAAGAGACAAATTAAAGACAGTAAGGAAAAGACCAAATTACTTAGAAAGAATGGGACTGACTGCTTAAATGTCTAAGCATGCAGAAGTGAGAATTAAAGCAGAAAACAAACCTAAAGTATCTCCTCTTAAATCCATCAGGTTCTTATTTTTCTATGTTCTCATATAGACCTATTGTTATAAAACACCAGTAATAAAGCTAGATAAAAGATTTAGAATCTTCTAAATGTTTTGTTGTTTTCACTAAACTAGTTCTGAATCTGATTAAATTTATTTTAATGCTTAATTCCCACAAGCCAACATTACACTTGAATATTAGAAACTGCTAAACAACAATTAATCTAAATATGAGAAGTGCTGCAAAGCCTGGTAATGAGGAGAGCTCTGTGGTATGGTGGGAATAATCCTTCTTTCTTTCCATAGCTTAACCATAGCCTTTCACAGTACACAATTTTTTGGCACCACCAAGTGGCCAGGTTGCACTGCTACTGATTCAAATTCAGCACTGCCGCTGTTGAGAGTTAGCTGTCTATTTGCTGCTGCTTTCTGCTCAAACATGCATTGGAGAGGGGAGACATTTCTAAAAAATGTTGCACATCAATTGGCAGGAATCATATTGATTGTGTTAGTTCATACATCTTCATTTATCCCTTCCTGTTTTGTCATTTAATACCCATGTATACTACCATGACCACTAGTTTTAATTTTTACTATGGTCATGTAGTCAGACTACCAACTATTTGCTACATAGAAACCCGCTTTAAGCAGTACCTGTCTGTTCTGGTTCACTCTTATCTTCATCTTCAATGTCAAATTCTGACTCTCTCTCTTCATATTCTACATTTTCATCCAGCTCTTTGAAGTCAGGTGCAAAGGCACTCCAGTTTTCCTAAACCACAAATTCAGAACAATTTTTACCTTATGCAAAGGAACAGCAGCTGTAGTGAGGACTCGTGAAATTAAAATCTCATTCTGCATTAAAATCCCGGAAGCCACACACAAGATCACAAAAAAAAAAAAAAAAAAAAAGAAATCAAGCCTCGTTTAGGTCCACAGACATACGGCAAATTAGGAATTGCGCAAGTTAGTTCCTACTGAAAATACAACATTGTAATATTCCTTAAACATTGCAACGTACATCATAAAACAAAGCTGTGTGTTCACATCTAGCCACTTCAGTTTTGGCTCGCTCGCTCACTCAGATTTCCTGTGCTTAAACACCACATTCAGGACACCATTCCCACATAAAATGTCCCTGTGATGATATTTAAGAATTAATGCAAAGCTTAACTAGTTCAGCGGCTGAAGTATGAGTACCCTCCTCACATTCAACAAGATGGTAAACATATGTCAAGTTAGGCAGGTGAACCTAAAAAGCTTGTTGAATGGGGATTTAATAAAGGATTTCAACATGCAACCATACAGTCTACTAGGATGGAGACCACTGGGGAATCCTCTTAAGGAAACCATCTAAAACACTTACCACTTGATTCTGAGCCCATATTGATACAACACCACTTGAAATAGAAGCTATGATCGGTCGGACAGGATGCCACTAGATTTATTTGAAAGAGAAAAGAGGAGGAACTTCATTGGTAAATGGAATTAAGAAAGGTTAGTTTTCAAAACAACAAGAAACATAGTAATAGCAGACAGTTTTCTTACTGCTACATCCAAGAGTAGCTCTCCTCTGGTCCCGTGGAGGATTTTCACTAGGTTTCCAATACTCTTCTCCCAAATGTACAGAGCATGCTGTCGTGCTGAACCTGCCACTATATATTCACCATCACCAGAGAAACAGCACTTCTTCCATGGTGTCCTGCGTGCAAAGACAGCATCACAAGTTAAACGGTTAAACAACAGCAGAGCATGGATGTCGGAGGACTGCGGAGTGGGCTTGTTCTTCAGACTGAGGTCTTACATACTCCCAACCACAAATAATAGTTAAACTTCAAATCAAATTGTGACAGACAGGTTTCAAATTAAAATATCTGTCCATTACACTGAGTAAGATACCAAACTACCCTTCATCCAGAGAGTCCCATTAGTGCCAAGCACATAAACCTCACCTTTTCAAGTGAGGCTGACCAGCCATTCTACTGCCTCTTACCGGTTCACTAAATCCTGCAGCTTCTGCATCGGTTCAGGCTCCCCATCTCGTCCACAAGTTAGAATTTCACGGCCATCGTAGACCCTGATTATCCGGTCCGCTGTGTTTATTAAAAAGCAGCTGTAGAAAGGAGGGCACAGAACATGCATTGCATTAAAAGACTAAAGATTAATTGAAAACTATAGGGTAGATTGACAGAGCTTACAAGGTCTGAAAAACCCCCACGGTTCTTTCACGGAACATATTCTGATTCTTTTTATTTCCTTAAAGATACCACTTGATAGATGAAGTAGCTCACCTTCCTTTCCGAGCAAATTCAATCGATTTAATAGCTGTGGTGTTGCTGGTTCCAGTTGTCACTCTGAAGGAAGCAACAAGATCCTGAGTGTCTGTTTTTAAGACCAAGATCTGAAGATTGAGGAGACAGAAAGCAATCAGCATCTTCATTATAACTCATTCCCCTCTTGGTACCTTTAACATCAACTACTAACCCTGACAACAGAAGCTTCAGCAGTCTACACAGGAATAGTTAGGATTCTGCAACTGTAGTTCTACTACAGTTTCTGTGACAGTTCTGCGACATAAACATTAGCTTATTTACACTGGAAAAGGATCCAACAAACACGGTCAAAGACAACAGCAACACAAAGACCTAATTCAGACAAAGATTACAGTCTAGAGATCTTCAAAGATAAAATGCGATGCTTTATTCAGAAGATCATATCAATGCAATATCAATTATTCAAGAGACATTCAGGAAGCTTAATATGTATACTAAAACAAAGAACGCAACCCAGAAATGTTAAGCATCTTGATAAAAGCAGGAAGCAATCTAAGCTATAGCATCCAGTGCCGCCTGCTAAAGTCTCACCTTCCCCTTGGCATTGCCCGTATAAATGTATTCCCCTCGCCTGTCAAAGGAGGCCACAACATTGAGATCAGAATCATCATCCACAGGTAGGACAACATGTTTGGAGTCTGACAGCGTTAGCATCACTGGCGCCGACTTCATGGGACAAACCAAAACTCTGTTTCTGCAAAGCAGAAAAATAAGAGGTAGCAGTTTCTTCTCTGGAAAAGAATTTCCACATTTAGATGCAGAAAAAAATCCCAATCTATATCAAGAAATACAGAATACCGCTCTATTTTTATTATCTTATTTTGTCTTTGTTACTTTAATCGCAAAATGACATTAAACTGGTGTGTACTTTAACTTCCTTTCTTTCTCTGGAAGCTGCTCAAAGTTTACGCAGTAACCTGTAAGCTCAATGAGACATCTCTACATACGCTTCCAAGAATCATTCCCTTGTTTCCTCTCCTCCCGCACTGATATTTTCATAACAAAAAGAGCCACAAAAAATCCAGTTAGGGTCCTAATCACAAGACGATACACCAAAATCATCTATCTGACTTGGAAAAATCACTTTGCAAACTGCAGTAAAAGCATCTGAATAATCATTAGTTCTACCAAAATAAGAGCAGTTCTACCAAAACAAGAGCATTCCACCCTTTTTCCACGGGACTTACTGGTCTCGAGGGTGGTACTGAACTTTCAAGATAGGCGAAGGAAATCGAAATCTCTGGTCGCAGTCTCCAGAGAGCACATCCCATTGCGACACAATGTTATCGGTCGAAGCACTCACCAGTTTGTGACCATCTCGACTCCAGCTACAGTAACGAGAGGCAGTTCAAGTAAAAGTTACTCCTTAAATGCATAAGACGTGCCTACAGCTTAAAATTATCAGACTCACGTGTAAACCTGTTAGCGTGAACAATAACCTAACATCCAAAAACTTAATAGCCATAACATGCTTCCAAACTCTCTTAAAGGAAACTATCCTGAAACGTAGCTGAGTACCCCACAGCGGGCTGGCATTTCAGCGATCAACATGCCCAGGTGTTAAGAGCCATCAGGGCATCAGCGCACCCGAGGCTCAGCAAACACAGGCACGGACAACCTCTAACAAGGACGAGAACAGCCTTTCACACCTGGTGCGTAAGCTACAAGCTCAGTTACCGCTAAAGGTCGAATTCGGTTACCCCGAGCAAAAAAAAAAACCAAACAGAACAACAAAACCCCGAGCGTTTTCTCACCATAAGGAGCAGACGGGGTGAATGTGAGCGCTTATGATTTTGGCGATGCCCCTGGTGAGGAAGTCCCAGATGACGATGCGCCCGTCGTTGCAGCCCACGGCCAGCAGCGTGCCCCAGCGATTGAAGGTGCAGGTCAGGGCCATGCTGATGCAGTCCAGCGTGCCATCGGCCTCCTGCGGGGAGAGGGCAGCGGAGGGGGGGGTCAGGCCGCCGCCGCCGCCGTCCCGCCCGGCCGCCGAGCCGCTCGCAGCAGCCGGCGGGACGGGGGTAGCCCCGCGGGGCGGGGAGGACGTTTACCTCGGGGTAGTTCTGGCCGAAGGACTCTGCAACGAAAGGTAAAGACGGTGTTTAGGAGTGAGGCGAGCCCGGCGACCCCGTGGCCCGCTCCGCCTGAACGCGCCCCGTTCACGCTCCTCCGTCGGCGGGGAGAGACGGATCGATACCCGCCCCCAGGCGGGCTCCCGGCCCGGCCCGGCCGCCCCTCTCCGCCCCCGGCCCGGCCCGGCCGCCGCTTTCCGCCCCCGGCCCGGTCCCCGCAGCCCGGACCCACCGAGCAGCTCCAGGTTCATCGCGGCCGCCGTCCCGCTCCCTCCGTCCCCGTCGCCGAAGGACCCCGCTGAGGGGAAGGGGGGGGGCCTAAGCTTGCGCTGCGCCGCCCGGGCGTTCGCCTTAACGAATCCCCCTCCCGCTCCCTTCCACCTACAGCCTCGCGACCCACCGGCACCTCGCAACCCGTTGACGACCCGAACCGCGATCGCCCGACCCAGCGCCGTCCCCCTCACCCCGCGGCGGCGGGGCTCGGTAGCGCGGCTGGGTTCAGGCAGAGCCAAGGGCAGCCCGGCGCCTGCGCGCGGAAGGTTCCGGGCGGGTCCCGCGGCCGCAGAGCCGAAGGTTCCGGGGGCGGCGGAACAAGCGGCGGAGAACGATCGTTCACAGCGGTTTTTGGTTTGTTGGGGTTTTTTTTTGTTTTGTTTTGTTTTGTGCAGCGCCCGGTAGGCGAAGGCTGAACTCACAGTCGCGTCTCTGACAACACACGGAGCGCAGGGGAAGGAGAGGAGTTAGTACAACGCAGGTCGGATACAAAAAAAATTAAAATAAAACCCGACAACAATAATAATGATAAAATACAACAGTTGAGCTCGGTCGTTCCGGTTATTGCACTTTTTGGTACGCGCTCGGTAAGGTGGTTACATTTTCCTATAACGCTGTTACACGGGCCAGGTGGGCCCTGCTACCCAGCCAAGCAGGCGAAGCCGCTGTAAGAACATGTAGTGCTATTTTATTTTTAAGCCCCACGGGAGGTTGAAACAGATAAAGGGCAGCTTTCTCCTGAAAAGGACAGTTATGCTTTAGGAAAAAAAAAAAAAAAAGAGTTACTTGTGTAACTTTTAGCGGTCCCCTTCCCCAAACACCACACCAGTGCAGCCCAGCCTCCCAGGGTGGGATGTGGGGAGAGCCCAGCCAGCTCCCTTCCAGGTAAACACTGCGCCTGCTTCTCAGCCCTAAAAGAAAGCATTTAGTGTAAGAAACAATCCTCTGAATTAAGGTAAGTATCCGGTGCTTCAAGACACAGTAAAGCAGGATCAGGCTGCCGCAGCCCTCCAGACCGTTCCTCATCCCGTATGGAGCGAGTGCATTTTCCCCCAGCTCGTCCCACTAAGTGTGGTGTGAAGAAAAGGCTTAAAACTGGGCTGGGGAGGCTGAAGGGCAGAGCAAGTTCCTGCTGTGCTTGAGCCTTGCACTGACCTAGCGACTCTTCAGCATGTAAACCTCACAGCAGTGACCTTTGTAAACAAAGCTTGGGGGCTTTTTGTTTTGGGGGTTTTTTTCCCCCAAAAGTCATTTTAGGCCTGATCTCCACTTCAGGCTTAGAGGAAGGAAGAGAGGAGATTTGCTCCTTACTGTTCACAGAAGTCAGCCTCAGCCTCTGGGATTGAGCTTGTTTTAAGTAGCAAAGATCACAGTGCTAGAACGGCACACGCTGGTTTGTGTCCGTTCACAGAACAGAACAGAATACAACAGAAGCCAGTCCACGACCTGGTTACATGTGGTACATTGTACAATGCACAAGTTATAAATACCCTTTTACAACACAACATTAAAACATACTGTAACAAACATCTTCAGTAGATTGAGGCGATAAAGGTAGCCTTATCTGGGAGAAGAATACCTGCTCAGCTCAGTCTCACTGCACCAGGCTCAGAGGTCTTTGAGTTTGGTACCACTTTGAATTTACAGTCTGTGGAATCTTTTAATAAAGTAATTATTCACCTTGTTTTCCTTGCTCTGATGGGGGGCAGGAATACTAGTTTTGAAGACAAACAGGGTATGCGAAATCAGGCAGACTTTTTACCCAATGGAAAAGAAAAAATGCAGAGAAGTAGCTGTACTGAGTTTGGGAAGAGCTGCAGATCTACAATGCCGCACATGCAAAAAGACAAACCAAATGGAAACAAGACATTAAGGTAGCTACAAATAACAATAAAAAGGCATCAGATAAGTGTCTGGAGATGACTACACAGGAAAAGCTATACAAGACATTTCTGGAATTGCATATACAGAGATTCAAATTTTATTCATACATTTATTATTTACACAAGCTACCTTTACTCATTGCCAGAGACTGACCTTGACTCTTCTAGTTTTAAATAAGGTTACTAACCACGACACACAGCAGAACAGAGTTAATACTGTTAGTGTCATAGGTGGCATCAGTGTGCACCAAGGCAGTGAAACGCCTAACGATTCTACTTTGGAAAAGTATTCGTTCTTCTGCGCATGTGGTTCTTGGTTGCTGCACTTTCAGCTGGAGCAGCTGGCAAGTCTGTATCTGTATAGAACCATACTGTTAATGCCATCACAGACCAGAAAAATGCCCACATGTGCAGGTAAGTAAAAAAAGGGTTTTTTTTATATAAAAAAGCGCATTAATTCTGTTTATTGCACAAAGAAAGGAAGATTTAAACTGAACTAATACTGCAGGGTTATGTATCCCTTTCCTTTGTTCAAGCTGTTTAACAGGCAGGCTATCAGTTGTAATTTTGCTGTATACTAGCCAATAAATTCCAGCAACAAAGTGCAGTAATGCCACATGCCTACACTACTTTGGATGCAGCATGCTCACTTTCCTGGGAAACAAAGCCATTGCATGCTCATCCTCTGCAGCTGGGAGGAACAGTAAACCCAGGGAGAACTTGCCAACTCAGTATTTCCTCATGTAGTAAACAAGGTGCATTTTCTATTTCACCCTCCACCCTGTAAGTATTTTACATTAAGATCAGCCAATCTTGGCCCAGAAATGCAAAAGGCAAGGATGTTATTTTCAGAAGCAGCCTTCTTGGGAAGGGCAGCAGGACCACCCCAGCCCATACCTTCCTTGTGAAGGATTCCCCTCCCCCCTGATTTTTTATTCTTTTCAATACAGCCAAATTAGAGATCCCAGAGTGAAACGATAGATGAACGGACACAGCCACAATACACAGCTACTGAAGAAGAATGAATGACCTGTTTTCCCTCAAGCATGCTCTCACCAAGCATGTGACTTTAAAAACGCTGAAGAAACCTTATTTTTAAAAATATGTCTGTCATAGTTAGCACAATTTAAAACTGTCATTGCCTTTACAACTAATTCAAACCCCAAACTTAATTAAAATGAATTGGCATTTTCCCCATGGACAGTCATTAGTTGTAATGACTTTGTTTCAGAATTACAATATGTAATCTCTGAGCAGTCTTCCATTTTACCAGAAGACTGTAAAAGAAAGGTCAGGTTTCTTCAGACATTCAAATAACTATTATGAAGCAAAATTACCAGGAAGAGAGCTTGTTTACAGAAGTAAGAGGTGAAGGGTACATAAGAGATAAATAGCTTATAACATGGGGTATTTGCACTGCAGTGGAACAGTAGATAAACCCCCTTAGGTAAAACACGGAAGCTTTGCTCCTGTCAATGTAAACATTTTGAGTGCTGCAAGAAGCTAATATAGATAGATGCTCTTAGCTTCTAAACACTTTATAGCCTAGAGCTTCTGCTTTCTCCTTCCTCTCCAACCGCACTGCAATTGGTGCCAATCCATAAGTGATTGGGATAGTTACGTGTAGACCGAAGGCCACCTAGGACCATCAGTTAACGGGAAGCGTTTTTACTTTACTGAGTAAAGACTGTTGTGATCAACTCCTGGCAACACAGACGCTACCTGAAACACACAGGATGCTTTTCTTTGATTGGTGTTTGTGTGGGATTGGCAAAAATCCCTTTTAGTTCAAGGGCGTGGATTTTCTATCTTATTTGCACAACTCCATAATAAAAGCTGCAGCAGGGTAACTAGCATCAATGGGGGTGTACCGGGGGAGAGTTCTCTGGCTGCTATTCAAGATGGAACATCCCCAAGGTCTCACCTCTATGAGCAATCTTCTGGTTGCTATTACCTGTCCCACTCATGTTAGCTACAAAGAGCTACATCTGAAGAAGCCATCAGCAGAGTTAGGGGTTCAGAATTCTCCCACAGTTAAGAATTCTTCTGTGCTTCCTTTTCAAGTAGAGTCATCCAACCCTTTGTTTGGGTGCTCAGAGCTTGACTTGCAGAGCCTGTCCATGATCCCCTGCAGCATAGGTTGAACAATCCCCAAGAGAGGGCGCTGGGAGGAGTCTCCATCCCAGCAGGCTTCCATCAGCTGCCAGCATTCCTCATCAAACACTGGAAGACGCTCCGGGCGAACTCCTGGAAAATGGAGAGGTACCTGGTTACCATCAGTACACCTTAAATCTGAGAGAAGCTTTGCCTGATGCTCATTGCTCTGGTGCAGGCTGAAGTGACCAAAGTGGACTGTCTAGGGTCTAATGCTCCTGATAAAGGCTTACATTTCAGCAGTGCTGCTGAGACATCTTTGGGAGAATTGCTGAAATCACTCAGGAGATCATGCACGCTTCCAGAGGATGGCCAACACATGTAGTTTCACTAGAGCCTCCCCTTTGCGACTATTTGGGAGCAAAATTAATACCCTCCCCTATTAGAAAACAAGTCCTGCCACCCCACCTGCTCATATGGTGCCTTTGGGAGCAAGTTCAACATGAGAACAAGCAGTGAGTGCAGCCTTCTGACCAAATACAAGACTCACTCATCTGAGTTAATCTTTTTCACATGAGAAGGGGAGAGATTATATGCACAGGAACTAAGGTCACAACGTAGTAAAGCATTCTGATACCATGACGCAGCATGAAGGATTAAGCTACCACAAAACATAGTACTACTCTAAACCTACACAAGCGTAAGAGTAAGTTTATATTTTGGGGAACAACTATCACAGTGTGTTTTACTCAACATCCAGCTTCCTCAGCATGCTGCATATTAAGCATTTGAATGTACAGATCACTGCAGATTCCAGAAATTGCAAGGGATTAAACATTCTTTAGGGGATCATGCCTGGCTGATTCTGGGGTCTGGTTTACATCATAAGTGTTGTACTACTTCACCTGGTTTAAGCAGTGTGCTAGCACAGTTCCTATGACACTGGCAAAGAGGTGGTTAACTGAAAGCCTTTCTTTATTCCTGCTAATTTGAGTTAGACTTTCAGTAGAATATGTCCAAGTTTAACTAGACAAGTGTTACTCTTTAGA